GATCAAGAGCTTGTTGGTAGCGTTGTTCACACGTCTTCCCCCTCCTTCTTAGATTTTCTTTAAAAACTGTTTATCTGTAATCTTTTATCTTTACCTCCTTGTTTCTAAAACTTGTCATTGCATTCTGTTTTTAATATAATTCATCTTTTTTACTCTGATTATATTGCTTTTTGATACCTGACAAAAAGGGGGAGAAAGTAAGATATTTTCAATAACAGTATACTGGGACAAAGTATCAAACATTCTGAATTATTTAACCTCTACTTTCTGAAAAGTTTGAACAGGAAGAAATTTTGATAGGAGATGTAGCAAAAGCTGTGACGAGAAGGAACTTCAGGGAAGTAATCAACTCAGGGGGAGTCTCTCTTAAATTTTTTGTTCTCTATTTTTCATTGAAAATTCTAGTTTTTGTCATCACCAAAAAAGGGAGATTGTTAGAACATTGTTTGATTCTACAACCCTTAGTTAGAGTTTTGATGATAACAAATACAAAGAACAAATATGCACCCTAAAATTATGTTATTTTGTATACAGAAGTTCTGACCAAAGCAGCATCAGAAGTTAAGCTATAGAAGCTACACGCTGAGGTAATCAGAATTTACGCTGAAGAATGATGATCAGAGCATGCGCTTAAGTGTAGTAAACTCTGATTTTGAACATAAGGATTATAATCTAAGGCATCAATACTCTGAAGCATCAGCAGCAGGCAAGGATGTAAGATTCTGAAGCATTACTATTCAATCAAGACAACATCAATTACAACGGCTTCATTCAGACAGGATCTTCTCAAAATGGAAACTGCATTAATGACCATTATCATGCTTAACGATGGACAGGATTCCTTTGCCTATATAAATAAGATAAGAGATAAAATCATTCACCATTTGCCAACACTACTGCAATACAATTCAAAAACGCTGCAAGCTTTCTCTAGTATTTTCCACGCTCTAAAATTGTGTAAATTATCACAGTTGTGATAACTGTTTTTGTAACGAAAAACATCTACACAGAATTCTTGTATCTTTGATTAAGACAGTTTTCCTTGAGATTAACTGGATTGTGGTTGTACTCAAGAGGACTTTGACAGTTGTCAAAGTAGTGATTGTAATCTATTTGTGATTAGTGGATTAAGACCTCGTTGGAGAGAGACGAAATCACCTTGACGGGTGGACTGGAGTAGTTTGAGATCAAACAAACCAGGATAAAAATACGGTGTCATTGCGCATTTGATCTCAAGTTTTCAATTTAACCCCCCCCCCCCCCTTCTTGTGTTTTTCACTTCTTCAGATATGAATTGATCTTTTTAACCATTGGCGCGTAGACCACTCATGGCTACCTCTATGATGAACGTCATGGTGACCTCCTTGAGTGTAAAATGCCTTATTCTCGTCCATTTTTCATCTAAATTGACTCATTTCTTCGCATACGACTCCCATTTGGTCAAATACCTGAAATCCAAACAAAATACCAACATAATACCGTAAATGGAGATGAAACAACAATAAAACACATGTAAATCGAATTAAATATAAGGTGTAATTTGGTGTTATCAAACTCTCCTGCACTTGAACTGTTAATTGTCCTCAAGAAAAATGAAAGTAAACAGTGACACTTGATAGCTACTATGGGCTTAAAGACTTTACTTTGAACAAGGTTATGTCAATAGGTACTAATTCTCAAAAACAAGGGTATCATAATTACACATTCCACATTTTGAGGGCATAGGTCTCCTTCCTATACAAACCAATCTGTATCATGTTATTATGCTTAAGTCTAACTTACTCATCCCATTTTTCATCCTTTTTCATTCATATGCAACCACATTAAGCCCGTTATTTGTACATACTCATAGTAAGGCGACCAGGTAGTGATTTTGATCCTTTGCACGAGGTTCTGGTACATTAATTGGTGTAACCCCTTTATTTTTCCTATTGTAGTTGCGGGGGTTCGAACCGTAATCCACCCTACCAAGTTCAGCACCAGAAACCTCTGAACCAACTAACAATGGGTATTTTATTCTATTTTTGGAGGTTCCATAACAGTTGGGTTAAGCGATCGGGTGAGGGTCACCTAACTTAAAAGTTGTATTCCCTATTTTCAATTAATTATAGCATAAAAATTAAGATAATTCCCTTATATTCATCGGCTTCCCCATGTAGAGCATGCTTAAGCTAGAGCTGACTACTAAAATAAACTACTTAAGGACTTATTTTAGGGTGAGAATTTAAGGCTAAGGTATAATAATTATCTAGATCGATCTCTATAATTTGGAGACTTACGTTGTTAAGACGATACCGATATTTCAGGACATTTCCCAAGTATCCATAACATGTCATAAGTTTGTCTAATAGCCCACAAATTTAAAACAAACACTGTTTATTTTTGCAAAAATTTCCAGTATGGCTCAAGAAAGGGGAAATATTCAATAAACAGCAAAAACTACATGCAATGACTCGATAAAAACAAACTTAAACTAATAAAAGAAATACTTAGAAAGCAATAAAGAAACAGGAAATAAAGCAATAGAGAAAGCAAGAAATCTAACTAGAAAGCAAGTAAATTTCCTCTCCCACACTTAAACCAAACATTAGCTCCAACAATCACAGCGCGCTACAAAATCCAATTAGCTTAAATAGCTCGCTTAGCGCGCTTAAAGACTTCGCTTCTGCCAAATCTGTCAAACAATCATAGCGCGCTACAAAATCCAATTAGCACACCTGCCTAAAGAGAACTTCTCAAAAATGGACTTTTATTTTGAAAACGCGTATCCGGAACTGTACCTTCGACACCTTATTGTTCAATGCTCCAAAAATGCGACAAATACCTACAAAAGAAGTAAAAGCTATCAAACATTACACAAATGAATTAAAATCACAAATATACACAAACTAAATGTATTTATAAACAAAGCAGGGAATTATTCAACGAATGTCAACAAAAGAATCGTTAAATTCCATAAAACATATATACAAAATAACTACAATTTGGCACTTATCAAACTCTCCCCAACTTCGAAATGTTTGTCCTCAAACAAGGCCAAAAAAACTTAAAAAGAAAAAGTAATCAACAAAAGAATCATGAATCAACATGTTTTAAAAACGAAAACAAATGTATGGTTCAAACAAAAATGCACAAGCAAGGTAAATACTTACCACAATCCTACAACGATATCATATGAACGAAACTAATCCTAAGTACAAAAATCATACTAAACATTCTAAAACAAAACAAGCTTAATCATGAATCATACCTAGTAAAAATTCATCGGTAGATGAAGAACACACAAAAGGTGAGGTGCTTGACACTCATCCATAATCTTACAAACAATAGACTAAATTATGCATTCATCTAAACACTCATATTGAAAATATAAAGGCAAGAATCACAAGGACTTTTCAAGGTTGTAATGTGGTTTGGTTAACAAACAAGGAATAATTCTTAAAGCTAATCGAAACAAAGACTTGCCTAAATCTAAGGGAGTGATCAACTCACAAAAGTTCAAACACAAAATTTCCATCAACTTTCTTCTTCATCCCAAATTTGTAAACCAAAACACCATACTTATTTACACAAAATTATTCCATACTCTTTTTGTTTTTCTTTTTTACAATTTTTTCAATTTTTTATTTCTTTTTATTTTCTTATTATTTCTCTTTTTTTTTTCTTTCTTTTCGTTTTATTTTTCACAACCACATTTGAAGTGGAAAACGCTAAGCCCAATACATCCATCTCTTGTTTAATAAAAAACAAAAGCAAATTTAATGGACTGATATAAAAACTGCAATGGGCCTGCAGTAAAGTGGACCAATGAACCAAGACTTGATTTTCAGAAAATAAATCCCCTTCTACTTAATAATATACCTCCTTCTTCTTTTTATTAAAGCAAAACTTTAATGGGCTGAAATCTCAATAACAAATACACCCCATTTCTAATTGTAAGAAAAATTTAATGGTCCATCAGATCTTGATGGTCCATTTTTGAAACAATACACCCCCTCTATAAACTTAAACCCCATGCTATACACATATATATATATATATATATATATATATATATATATATATATATATATATATATATATATATATATATATATATATATATATATATATATATATATATATATATATATATATATATATATATATATATATATATATATATATATATATATATATATATATATATATATATATATATATGTGCGCGCGCGCGTGTGTGTGAATTTAACAACAATAATCTAAACTTTATATTATAAAGAAAATGATAACACTAGAAATTAATAACAATAAGGAATAAATTGGTTAGAAATCAATAAGATAAATTTGGGGTATGACAAACGCCATGGTAGTCACCTTGAGTGTAAAATGCCCTATTCTCGTCTGTTTTTCATCCGAATTGACTCGTTTCTTTGCGTACGATTCCCATTTGGTCAAATACCTTAAATCCAAACAAAATACCAATATAATATAGAAAATGAAGATAAAACAACAATAAAACAAATGTAAATCGAATCAAATATAAGATGTATTTTGGTGTTATCATAATACCAATAATGATTTTAAAAAATAAATAAAGAAAACTTAATCACATTAACATATATTTATTCAGAGATGTCAATGCTACAGAGATAAGTGAAGGAAAAAATATAGCGGTTTGAAATCGAGATTTCACATAAAATAACCTCACATTAAATTATTAAGCTGCAACAACTGCAATTAAGCTGAGCTACAAAAACATCAACAATTTTACCACAAGATTCTAAAGTACGGTTTCTCCTTACAGTCACATATGTTTTAATCTACAAGGCTCCAAACTAACACATTGATCAAAGTATCCATGTTTATTCTTTCCCCTTAAACAATACTTGTTTATCGTTTATTCTTTTTGCTTTATTTCAACATTTTTTCTCCTTTTAATACCATCACCGATTGGCCATACTATTTTTTTAGGTCATCTCATACAATTTTCAAATGAATTTGTTTCTCATGTCTCAACCATGGTAGTTATGTTCATTCAAGAACATAAGGTAATGACAGTGAAAGAGAAATGTGTTTTGGTGAGAATTATAAGGCTTGTGTCGTGCCAAAATGGTACATGTTGTTATAATTTATTATGTATCTAACTAACTATCGTTTTCTTATTCATTCATTACTAACATTAATTATTTACCTTGCCTCATTGAATTAACTTCACGTAGGTCTCTCAGGTCATATCTTGACAGGAAGATTTATTCAAAATATTCTCGTCCAAGATACAAAAAACCGTGTTGTCGTTGCTTTAGTGGTAGGGTATGTGAATATGAATTTCATGTATGGAAAAGTGAGTGACAAGAGAGATGTATATGCCTTTGGTGTTGTCCTACTTGAACTCATATCAGGGAGGGAACCGATCCACTCGAAAACTTGCAAAGGACGCCAGAGTTTGGTCTCGTGGGCGAAACCGATTTTAGAGAGTGGAGATTTTAAAAGGTTAGTGGCCACAAAGTTACAAGGAAAGTTTGATGTAGAACAAATGAACATAATAATTCTTGCAACATCTATATGCATAACACGGGATGCGCGGCATCGTCCTACAATGAATTAGTTATATCAGTGACCCAACTGATAGATTTTTAGAGTTTAGCTTCAAAAGTACTATATGATCTCAATTCCGTTATTGTAGATACTAAATATCTTGAAAGGATGCGATGAGAAAGAGAAAAACTTGTTTAAATCTCAAGAGAGTGATCGCAATTATTTGGAAAATCAAAAAAATATTGACGACGAAGTTTATTCGAATGCAAGTGCAGAATTGCACCTAAACCTTGTATTGCTTGATGTTGACAATGATAGTGCGTCATATAGTAGTATAGAGAAGAGCAATAATTAACTAATAAATCTATCTTCTCAACTATGAATGTTTGGAAGATTTAGAGAGGCATGGTTTCCATTTGAAGTTTTGGTTTATACCATTAAAAACATGAAATTTTGAGGTTTAAATAATTGTCATCTGAGTTCTGTTAATGCTCTTCAATTTTTTACTTTATTTATCAATGAAAGATCTATACATGTCTCATCATACAAAAAACTAGCATGGATTCAATGATCACTTCATAATAAGCCATAAAATAAACTCATAAACCACTATAGTCTTCATAGCTAGCACATTGATTCTTGAGTCATGATTTTGATCATTACACACTGTCTTTGAAATTATCAACACTACATACCTTTGTCTTTGATGCAAAATAAGGGTATTATTTTCATTACGTCCTAGCATTTTGATTCTGAATCAAAATGGTAAGGCGTAGGGCAAAGCATATACATCAGCATGAGGCAAATAACTCGCAAGAGGTTGGATTCCTTGGTAGCTGCCATTGTTAGTGCTGCTACTGCTTCCAAAATGTTCGGCTCGGTCAACGATTTTACTTTCACTATCACCATTGAATTGATTCTTCTTAGAAAGCCAATCCTCATCTTGTAAATCAGTTGGAACCATTTTCATTTGAAGAGGAACCCAATTCATAGTCAACTTTGTATACTCTAAATGTGTCTCCATTTTTTTAACATCATATTTTTGTTCCTTTTTCTTCTTAGGACTACTCTTCAAATTATCATCTTCTTCACTCTCTTTATCATCATTGATTCTTTTCGATTTCTTATCATCATCTTCACTCTTCTTATCTTCATTTCTTCTTTTCTTTTCATGACTTCTTTTCGACTTCTTATCATCTTTTTCACTCTTCTTATCGACACATATTCTTTTTGACTTCTTATCATCTTCTTCACTCTTCTTATCGACACAGATTCTTTTTGACTTCTTATCATCTTCTTCACTCTTCTTATCGACACAGATTCTTTTTGACTTCTTATCATCTTCTTCACTCTTCTTATGGCCATGGCTTCTTTTTGACTTCTTATCATCTTCTTCACTCTTCTTATAGTCTTGGCTTCTTTTCGACTTCTTACCATCTTCTTCACTCTTCTTATCGCCATGGCTTCTTTTTGACTTTTTATCATCTTCTTCACTCTTCTTATAGTCTTGGCTTCTTTTCGACTTCTTATCATCTTCTTCAGTCTTCTTATCGCCATGGCTTCTTTTTGACTTCTTATCATCTTCTTCACTCTTCTTATAGTCTTGGCTTCTTTTCGACTTCTTATCATCTTCTTCACTCTTCTTATCGCCATGGCTTCTTTTTGACTTCTTATCATCTTCTTCACTCTTCTTATCGACGTGGCTTCTTTTTGACTTCTTATCATCTTCTTCACTCTTCTTATCGCCATGACTTCTTTTCGACTTCTTATCATCTTCTTCACTCTTCTTATCGTCATGGCTTCTTTTTGACTTCTTATCATCTTCTTCACTCTTCTTATAGTCTTGACTTCTTTTCGACTTCTTATCATCTTCTTCATTCTTCTTATCGTCATGGCTTCTTTTTGACTTCTTATCATCTTCTTCACTCTTCTTATCGCCATGACTTCTTTTTGACTTCTTATCATCTTCTTCACTCTTCTTATCGCCGTGACTTCTTTTTGACTTATTATCATCTTCTTCACTCTTTTTGTCACCACGACTTCTTTTCCTATCTTTTTTTCCTTCCTTTTTTTCCTTAGAGTACTTCAGTCTTCGGAGCTTTAAAACCGAAATCAAGAATACCATAAATCAAACGAGTGATTAAGACATGTTCATATATCTTTACATATTTATTCATTTAAAATTAATTTTTATAGAACTCAATCAATATTAGATGAAATATTTAACTATAAATTAATGACGAAAACGCTATCATCGAACAAATAATCAATCTTTAAAATTTCATTAAGAATTAAAATAAGAAAAATTATATTTTTTTTCTTTCAATTATCATATAGTTTGATGATTAATCCATAATTTGTACTAAAAAAAATTGCGCAACAAAAAATACACAAGTAAATAAATAACCAGTCCTTAGAATTTGTTTAAAATAAAAATCTAATGATCATGTTTTTCTCTTCCAGATATCAACACGTCTTTTTCACACAATTTAATCAATCAATAAAAGCATAAGGATAATTTTTTTAAATAAAATCAAAAGATAAAAATAAAAATAAATAAAAAAAAAGTAAACTAACCTCCAATTGTTGTAGTAGTGCTTCACCCCCTATGCCATTCTTCATATAATTTGGAGGAGGGAATGGTAGACACCTAGACATGATTTCAGAAACAAGATAATCACTTTTCTGTTTCAAATTAAGTACTTTTTAACTAGTGATTATTCAACATGTGTTGAAAGTTCCCATTTCCCCTTCGTTGCATGAGATGGATATGCTCTATTTGTTCAATAAACCTATCAAAAAGATGAATTAGAGAAAATCATAACAAACAACATGAAAATCAGAAGCACATTTGAAAATTTAATACTTTTAAATTTTGAGTGAATATGTCAGTATTAAAATTTTCATTTTAGTTGAAGAATAGCGAGAGAAAGAATGATGATTAGAGAATGTTACAGTAAAATCAAATTGATGATAGAAATCACCAAAAACAATTTGACAACACTTATTTATATAAAATCTTAAAATATTTAATATATTAATCAACTTTTTCATATATATATATTTTATTTAGTCTATTTAGTCAATGTGAGTAATCTCACTTATAACTTTTATTTATTAGTTTTAAAAAATAATATATTTTTATTAGTAATAATGTATTATAATATATTATTAAATTGATTGCAAAGGATGTGAATTTCAAACCCTCAATATTTTTTTATTTATTTTTAAGAGATAAAATTCTATACATTGACTATTAGACAAAAAAAAAAAAAAGAATTATGATTTTTTTTTATTTAAAAAAATTAAAGAAACGGAAAGTCCACTTTCAAACTACTTTACTTTTTTGTTATTTTCAAGAAAAGAATTTTTGAAATATTTCCTCTTTTGCGCATGAAAAAATGGAAAAGAGTATATCTATAGAAGTTCTTTAATATTGGCCAAATTTGCAAAAGAAAATAAAACATGTCTTATCAGTTAAGAAAAAGAGTTATGCCTTGTATTCTCTCGTCCTACATTATTTATCACAATTAATTATTTTATACAAATTAAAAAATAGTAATAAATAAATAAAAAATAATGATTTTATTAAATTATTATGATTAATTATTAATTTAGTCAAATTAATATTAATATTAAGTGAGAAAATAATAAATTAAAAATATTTATTACATAATACAATTGAAAGATTAAATATATAATTGTATTGGTAATTTAAAGTAACAAATATTTTAAAATAATTTTTTTAAATGTGACACTTATTTTAAGATAGAGAGAGTAAAATTTATGTTACTTTCAAGAAAATAATTTGTTTGATAACAATTTTTTCACAAGTTTATAGTATTTGTTTGAATATATATTTTTCAATGAAAATTAAATAAATATTAATTATAAATATTTATATGCTATTTATATTCATAATCTAGTTTAAATATTAATTTTAGATTTAATAACATTTTTTATCATTGCATTTTAACTATTAATTTTAGGTTTAATAACATTTTTTATCATTGCATTTTGATAACTCACGAAATTATTCCTTCTTTTTGTTGTGATTTTAGTCCTAAAATTAATTTTTCTCTCTAAAAACACTGATTTATCTAAATTTTAATGGCGTGGCAATGATGACCAAAATAATTTATTATTTAATTTTTTTTAATATAATAAATTAATATTAACAATTTTTAATTAATTTATTTTAGAAATTAATTAATTAGTAATTACAATTATGAAAAATCCATTGAGCCTCATGTCTATTTCGTTTCAACACTAACCTATTATCTAAATTTGTAAGATGTAATATTATTGAGCTATATAAACACTAAACATATTTGTTAAAAATACAATGTGAAATTTTATTGACAAACAAAAGTGACATTTCACCTGCACTATCTCTGAACCAAATCATCTAACATTTGTTTGTGAAGTGTCACTTCACCTGCACCGTCTCTGTCAAGTAGTGATCAATTATTTACTATTGATCTTTATCGGTGATCAGAATCTGTAATGGGTCAATATCTGTGTCTGTAAGATTGGAGTTACAGAGGAGGGGGTGTACCTGCAAGACACTCTGATGCTCAAGTAAGTAAGAGTGCAAAGAGATACCAACGAAAATATAGAATTTTAGAAGTGAATATTGAATAGATGACCCTCATAAGTGTGAGGATTTATATAATGCCACTACTACAAATAACGCTTGTAATATTGAACACGAATTGCGTTTTACCTCGGCAATAGATGTGAGGTGAATAAGATCGTGATAAAAAGAAAAGACTTGTCACCTCGATGTTTAAAACACCGAGGTGAAATTTTATTAGCCCATGGGTTTGAACCCCAACAGCTGTAACTTTTATTATTTTCAAAACTAGCATATCTTTTATCCTGGTTTACCAAAATAATCGAGGGGTTATTAGTTTTTTTTAATAAAACTCGTTACATTATTTACCCAGAATATTACATTTTTTACACACACAAAAATTAATTGTCCATGAAGATCATATGTTGGATCTCCAATTCCTTGATATTATGGGCAAGATCAAATGCTGAGAAACTCTTTTTTACCAACAAAAAAAAATGGTTAGGTAAATTAATTTCCCCAAGATATAAATTTTAGATCTTCAAATCATATAATTTCTCCAATATATTCTCTATGGTTTTTGCTTGCATTTGTTTCTGATATGAACAAAAAAGGATTAGACAAAAAGTGGTTAGATAAATAAATAATTTTCTGTTAAAATAAATATTTAAGAACACAAACCTTAAACTCAAATAATTTTCTGCTCTTGCAATCCATCATAGAGAACTATTAATGGAAAACACTCTTGTAAACCTTAAACTCTTTATGATATTGGATGTTGCTTGCATTTGTTTCTGATGTGAACAAAAAAGAGTTACGCAATAGATAAATAAATAATTTTCTGTTCAAATAAATATTTAAGAACACAGACCTTACACCATAGAAAACTCTTCATGACAAAGATTCTTGCAAATGTTAAAGTTGAGCACTAATGGTAATGTCTTGATAGTTTCAGAATGCTTTCATAATAAAAGTAATTTATGTTTCACGCCGATCACTAAAGGTAATGTCTTGATCGTTGATAGTAATGAAATTAATGTCAAGGATTTGATTAAGGATTTGATAAATATTTCAATTTTTATGCTAAATGTTACATCGCTTTTTAAGATAACTGGCACGTTAGAACATTTAATTTACAAATAAAAACTATAATTAAATTAGAGGTTTCAATTTAACACTCAACTTTAATGCTAAAATGTTCCCTCGGTTTTTATGGAAAACCGACATGTTATAACATTTATATTACCAATAAAAAATATAATTAAAACAGAGGTTAGAACACCGACATGGCGCACATGCATTAGAATAATATCACTTAGTTAGAATAGAAATGATCATCTGTATTCAAGTCATAACGTCTCTTTTAGATTATCAAGGAGGCTTTTGAGCTATTTAAACGTCTAATTACCAACTCATTGTGTCTTCAAACATTTTTTCAAAATCTTTTCCTATTTTAATGTCTCATTACCAACTCTCTGTGTCTTGTTTCCTTGTTTCAAAGTCCTTTTTTTATTATCATAAACGGATGCAAATATGTTGTTCGTTATTAATGAAAAGTATGTTGATTTTAATTATTTCAATCATTTTCAACTAAGACAAGCTGTTAACAGACAAATGTTGAATTGTTACTTTCAAATTCTTAACGGTCCTATATACACTAATCTCATTAAATATTTTTGGATGAATGCCTCTGTTGTGCAAGATGATCATGATGAAATCATCCAGTCCTATGTCAATGGCTCTCATTTCTTTATTACTCCAGCCCTATATACACTAATATTTTTGTTGTTGTTGTTGGTTTTCAATGAACTTATAAACTTGCAAACATCACAAAGAAATAATACTTTTGAAAATAGACGAAAAAACCTCATTTTCATTAATCATGAAACAATTACATTTGAAGTACACTTTCAAATATCCTAAAAATACAAGAGGAAACCGCTAGGTCTTTTAGGTCCTAAGGAGTCTCATCTGAAGCAGAACCAAATCCTCTTTGTAGCTTGAGCTTCCAGATCTTCTCCTCATAGAAATCTTCCATCTCGATCTTCTCGGCCACCAACTCATCAACAACTTTCATCCATGCATCGGGAGAAGGAGTAACATTTATCAAATCTTCTTGATTTCTTTTCCTTTCCCTATCATATTTCTTAAGAATTATATCCTTCTGACGAAGTTTCTCATTCTGCTCAACAAGCCAACCATCTTAAAGAGAAAATACATCATCTTTATCCTTTAAATGTTATTTAAATCTCTCTTTTCATACTCTGAAATGTGATATTTTTCTTCCCAAGTATCTCTTTCCAACTTCATCCTGGCCAAAATTTCCTGATACTCCTCAATGTTCTCAATAGGAATGATGGAAGGTGACGGTGTGACTGCTGGTAGAAAAGGCTTTTCAAGGTAGTAAGGCATTTTGAGCTTGCAAGCCCTATCATGGACCCACTGAGTAAAGGGTTTAAAGGCAATGTAATGTTTCTTTCCCAAATGATCTTTACTCTTCCTATGAATCTTACGCCAAGCATCCACAATTTCCTCCTTTAAATCTATATTATACTCCTCGTCAATGTAAAAGAAACCTGATAACAAAATATTATCGGGTTTGTCCTTCATAGGGTATCCAAATTGGCGTCTAGCAATAATAGGTTTACAGTTGATTCCCCCCCCCCCTTTATACCAATAAGAGGTGCATTAGGGAAACCCCCACAAATTTCATTGATTACCCCAATGTCATATGATGGAATATACCAAGTTAAATCTGCTTGAGTAATGGACATTAGTATTTGGGACCACCTGATCTTGTCTGGATTGTCTTTGAAGAGATTGGACTGCGGCAAGTGCGAATTAAACAAATTGTACAGTAGAGGTGCACAACATGTGATGGTTCCACATCCCTTTTGAGTTCTGTGATGAATAGAGCGGTAGGTGTCTCCAAGTAAAGTGGGCATTGGGTTAGCAATCAAGAATATTTGAATAGCCTTAAAATCAACAAAATCGTCAATGTTTGGAAAGAGCACAAGACCATAAATGAGTAAGGAAAAAATTGTCTCAAAAGCATCCCTACTATATACTTTAGCTAAGATAA